TGGTCATGTGAAGAGGCGGGGCCTAGTGGGTGGCCCTTATGTCATTAGGTGCAAAGAGGGAAGAAAGAAGGAGCAGAACTACTGCCACACAAACACAGGGAAAGGGAGGAAAAGCAGTGACATGGCAGGCGGAAATCCAAGCATACTGACAATCACATTATATATTTAGTAAAAGAGATACGGGGGCATTATATATGGATAAAAATCATATGTAAGGAATACACAACATTATGAAAAGCTATAATCGGTAGCAATGAAGCTTCAAAACATGAGTAAAAATTTTTAGAATTAAAAGAAGAAATAATCCCATAATAATAATTGGGGATTTAAACATAATCGTTGAGTAAATGAGAGAATAAGACAAACACACACACACACACACACACACACACGGGAAAAACATAAAACAAGGGTTGATAAACTATAGCTATTAGTCAGTCAGCTGTTTTTGTAAACAAGGCTTTACTGGAATGCTGTCTGCCCATTCATTTAAATTCTGTCTACACCTGCTACTGGACCACAAAGGCAGCACCATGTGGCTGTGACAGACATTGTGTGGCCCATAAAGTCTAAAATATTTACTTATTTGGTCCTTTACAAGGAAAAATTTGTCAATTCCTGACAGATAACTGAACAACACTATCAGCTACTTTTACTTAATTATGAAACAATACATCCAACAACTACAGAATATTCATTCCTTTAAATATTCATATTTATCCCCAAATTAGACAATATGGTAAACAAAATCAGAACTTTATGCAGTACTAAACTAGAAATCAACAATGAGATATTAAGAAAAATCTCAAATATCTAGAAATGAAATTATCCCAAATTAAATAATTCATGGATCAAAAAAGGGATCAAAAAATGGGTAATCAGAAAACATTCTGAGAGAGAACACATACCACATGACAATACCAGAAAAGATTTTCACTACATGTCTTATAGATATTAAAGAATAGTAATACTAGAAATAATTTTATGCCAAAAATTTTGAAAATTTAAATGTGATATGTGAGTTTCCTGAAAAATATCTTACCAAACATGAATAAAATGAAAATCCAAATATATCTAGTCATTTAGTAAAAAAGTATAATTTGTTTTGGAAATTTAGCCATAAAGCAAACTACAAGAACAGGCACTTACTTGGAAATAAATTTAGCAACCAATATATAAGATCTTTACACTAGAAAACTGCAAAAACAATGATATTCTATTTAAAATATAAATAAATGGAAAGGTAAACCATTTTCAGGGATGTAGAGACATAATACTGTAAAAATGATCATTCTCACCAGACCGATAGCCTCAAGGCCTTTTTGCCAAAAGTGACATGCTTATTCTAAAGCTTCTGTAAGTGAGAACGATCTATAATATCCAGGTGAATCCTGACAAAGAACCAGTACTTTATACTACTGACACTGGACTTGCTATATAGACCTAGTACTGAAAAAAAAAAAAGTGGTGCTGCCATAAAAATTGACAATAAGAATAGTGAAAAGAAAATGGTTCACCTAAAAAGAAATTAATTTATTTGGATCAAATCTTAGAAAAGCCATCTATGCCATTACTGAGTCAAATACGCCAAGGGAAATCTGTTTTACTCTAACTTGGGACAGTTTCAGTTCCATACTTAAATCCTTCTAAAATCAAAGGACTCCTTTTTCTGATATATAAGCAATCAATGCAAGATGAAAAAGTCCTAAAGTTCAAAACTGACATAATGACATAAACAAAGACACATGTCAGATTTATACATGAAGGTATAAAGTGCTTCTATGAAAATATTCTTGCTTGGAAATGGCAAACTGTTTTTTATTTTTTTGAATTTTTTTTTTTTTAAAGAAAGGGTCATAAACTTTTATTCCTTTTCTTCTCATTGACTTGCTATGTGAATCATAGTATTTGTCAAATTTCTTCATTTTTTTTAACTTTTATTTAATGAATATAAATTTCCAAAGTACAGCTTATGGATTACAATGGCTTCCCCCCCATAACGTCCCTCCCACCCGCAACCCTCCCCTTTCCCACTCCCTCTCCCCTTCCATTCACATCAAGATTCATTTTCTATTCTCGTTATATACAGAAGATCAGTTTAGCATATATTAAGTAAAGATTTCAACAGTTTGCTCCCACATAGAAACATAAAGTGAAAAATACTGTTTGAGTACTAGTTATAGCATTAAATCTCAATGTACAGCACACTAAGGACAAAGATCCTACATGAGGAGTAAGTGCACAGTGACTCCTGTTGTTGACTTAACAAATTGACACTCTTGTTTATGGCATCAGTAATCACCCTAGGCTCTTGTCATGAGCTGCCAAGGCTACTGAAGCCCCCTGAGTTCACTGATTCTGATCATATTTAGACAAGGCCATGGTCAAAGTGGAAGTTCTCTCCTCCCTTCAGAGAAAGGTACCTCCTTCTTTGATGACCTGTTCTTTCCACTGGGATCTCACTCACGGAGATCTTTCATTTAGGTTTTTTTTTTTCCCCCAGAGTGTCTTGGCTTTCCATGCCTGAAATACTCTCATGGGCATTTCAGCCGGATCCGCATGCCTTAAGGGCTGATTCTGAGGCCAGAGTGCTGTTTAGGACATCTGCCATTCTATGGGTCTGCTGTGTATCTCACTTCCCATGTTGGATCGTTCTCTCCCTTTTTTATTCTATCAGCTAGTATTTGCAGACACTATTCTTGTTTATGTGCTCCCTTTGGCTCTTAGTCCTATCATTAAGATCAATTGTGAACAAAAATTCATCACCGGGACTAGTGAGATGGCATTGGTACATGCCACCTTGATGGGATTGAATTGGAATCCCCTGGTATGTTTCTAACTCTACCGTTTGAGGTAAGTCAGCTTGAGCATGTCCCGAATTGCACATCTCTTCCCTCTCTCATTCCCACTCTTATATTTAACAGCGATTACTTTTCAGTTAAGTTTCAGCACTTAAGAAGAATTGTGTATTGATTACAGTATTCAACCAAAAGTATTAAGTAGAACAAACAAAAAAAATACTAAGAGGGATAACATATTAAGTTGCTCATCAACAGTCAGGGTGAGGGCTGATCAAGTCACCGTTTCTCATAGTGTTCATTTCACTTTAACAGGTTTCCTTTTTGGTGCTCAGTTAGTTGTCACCTATTCAAGGAGAACAAGTGGTATTTGTCCCTTTGGGATTGGTTTATTTCACTCAGCATAATGTTTTCCAAATTCCTAACAGGGATCACTTTTCAATTAAAATTTAAATAACTAAGAATAATTGCGTGTTAATTACAGAGTTCAACCAATGGTACTAGAACAAAAAAAATACTAAAATGGATAAAGTATTACATTGTACATCAACCGTCAGGACAAGAGCTGATCAAGCGAACTGTTTTTTAATTATTATATCAGGTTGTACAAAATAATTAATCCAGGAAAATACTAGCTATAAGTTTTTATTTTGATATTATGGGCCAAATATGTGATTATTTTACAACTGAAAGATAGATTATTTCCTAAAACATTTTGCAGACAGGGAAATCCTCCAGGTAGAATGTTTGTGCAGGAACTCAATATAATCAGGCGATGTTCCAAGGCAAATGGACTCATTCACTCAAAGCTTCATGGTTTAGAGATGGTTTCACTTATTTCTATGCTTCTATTTAAAGTGCAACATTGATTCCTAACGTTAAAAAGAACCTAAGAAAGCTACAAATGGATACCACCCTAGACCACCTTCATGGAAAATAGCAAAAGGGGTCAGATTCCTTTCCCTACTCCTGGTCCCTGAGTTTAAACACAACCTACACCACTACCAAATTATCCTAACTTGGGTTCTTCGACGATTTAAAAGCTTAAAGACCAATAGAAAGTAAAATGTGTGTTCAGTATTAACTGCACAATCATTAGCACAGTATTCATATATTCAGAAATGACTGGACAAAAACAAAATAATAGATTGTTTTCTGCTCTTGGTGGCCCAAAAGTTAAATCCTATTTCCAAAATAAAGAAAAATCTATCCCAGGGAAGAGAAGCTAATTCTAATGGAAATATGAGAGGCTACATAGATTAATGATTTTAACAATCTTTCAGGAGGCTTTGGGAGTACAAGTTAAGAAATAATATCTATTTCAACTTTATTGGACAAAATAATAGATACTGACCTCAATATGAAATACTTGTACCTTTATAGAAAAAAAATTTTTTTATTATTATTTGAAAGGCAGAGTTACGGCAAAAGGAGGAGACAGAGAGAAAGAGAAAGAGAGAGAGATCTTCCACACCCAAATGGCTACAATGGTCAGGTCTGAGCCAGGCCAGAGCCAGGAGTCAGTGGCTTCTTCCAGGTTTCTCATGGAGGTACAGGCTCTCAGACTAGCACCCTTATGGGATGCCAGTGTTGCAAATGGAGGTTTAACTTGCTACACCACTAGGCTGGCCCCAGCAGAAAATCTTTACAACAATCATAATGTAAGTATATACCAAATACTTATTTTTATAAAGCATTTGTGGTCAGTGAAGCATCATTAGACATAGGAAAATACAGCCATAAAGTGACTGAGAATGAGTAATATGTAGGTATAATATAAAACAGAGAACTAAATTAGATTTAGGTTGAGGCTGGAAGTCACAGCATAAATTTCATTCTAAGCATACACATAGGATGCTGGATAGAGAGCAAAATGTAAATGCTGTATTTCAAATTCTCCTATACTTTAGGATGCATAACAGTAACAGGAACCGAAGTCTACTTGAAAATTCTAAAAACTATTGACAACAGAAAATAAGACCAAATGATTCTTCTTCATATAATCAATTATGAAATGCTGTATTTGAAGTATATAATAAAATAATAATGCTGTTCATTTCTTATCATTTATTGTTGAGTAAAATTTTATTTTGCTGTTGAATCCCTGTAGGAATTTGATGTATTTTATAAATAGCTGCGATGTTTACTTACATACTGTGTTCATTCAACCTTTTCCCCCTTTTCCAGCATCATAGCACATACCTTAGACAGTCTTTTGGAGGCTTCACAGCTATGATCTAAACATGGCTTGGGCCCTTTTTCAGCATCTAGAGATGAAACTGAGAAAATATATTTCATCATGGGGCATACACTGTATTACAACATTTAAACTGGCTTTCAAAAAACTGAATATATCATTTATTTAATATTTCTCTTCCACTAAAAAAATTAACGAATTTCCTAATGCCAAATCATTCTTCTTCAGCAAAACACCCAAGGCCAAGAAAACATCATTTCTACAGTGAACTTAAGAATTAATCAACTTTCTTGATAATTAATGTTTGGCTATTGAGTGTTTAAATATTAACAGAATTACTTCAACTTTTATAACATATATATGCATATAAAAATAGGGGTTTGTATTAATTCAATGTTTTGCCTATATATAACACAATGTGGGTCATGTAACTCAACTCTTAATCTCTAGTTGCAAATTTTCAGGATAAAATAAGCCATGATAACAACAGTGGAAAAGGAAGAGGTGGGGTTGTGGCAGAAGTCAAGTCCTAGCAAGATAAACCAAAAGGTCTCACATTAAAAATCTATTTAATTCATTTCTTATTTTTATAAAGATTGACTTTCTACTTATTTGAAAAAGGCAGTTACGGGGGGGGGGGAGGTGGAGGGAGGGCAGGAGACTGAAAGAGAGAGAGGGGTAGAGAGAGAGGAATGGAGAAAGGGAGAAAGGGAGGGAGGGAAGGAGGGAGAAGAGGGGAGAGAGAGAGGGAGAGGAAAAGAGAAAGGAAGGGAGAAAGGGGGAGGGAGAGAATGATTGACTGATCTTCCATCCACTGGAATGGCTACAACAAAGCCAGAAGCCAGGAGCATCATCCTGGTCTTCCATGTGGATGCAGGAGCCCAAGGACTTGGGCCACATTCCACTGCTTTTCCAGGTGCATTAGGAGAGAGCTGAATCTGAAGTGCAGCAGACCTGTGGCCTGCACTGTGTAGTAATAGGCTAAGCCTCCACTTCCACCAGTATCCCATATGGGTGCCAGTTGGTGTCCTGGCTGCTCCTCTTTTGATACAGCTCTCTGCTATGGCCTGGGAAAGCAGTGGAAGATGGCCCAAGTGCTTGGGCCCCTGCACCCATGTGGGAGACCTGGAAGAAGCTCCTGGCTCCCGGTTTTGGATCAGCCCAGCTCTGGCCATTGCGGCCATTTGGGGAGTGAACCAGCAGACGGAACACATCCTCTCTCGCTCTCTCTGTAACTCTGCTTCTCAAATAAACAAATAAATATTAAAAACAAACAGAAAAAGATGTTCTTGAGAGAGAAGGAAAATAATAGGTCAAACATTCAGATTTATAAATAAATAAAGAAAGCACTAGACAAAGAGTAAAAGTAGGTAAAAATAAAACCTATTATTTTGATTGGTCTAACAGATAACAGCTTGTTCAAAATAATAACAGAAATAATTTATTTGGTACTAAATCTCAAATAAAAGTGAAATAAATGACAGTAGTGTTATAAAATAATGGAGGCAGAATTTGGGAATATTTAAGAATAAATCTGCCAAGAGGTATATGTCAACTTACATGCTGAAAACTACCAACCATAGCTAAAAGAAATTAAGTCCAAAAGACACTCTGCACCCACAGAATGGAAGAATTAACGTTGTGAATGTGCCAGAAATAATCCAAAGCCACACAGAGATTTCACACATCAAAAACCCAATGGCCTACCTATTGGCAGAAATGGAGAAGTAGATTCTAAAACTATTCAGAATTACATCGAACCTCAAATTATCAAAACAACATCAAAAAAGAGGGTAAAATTGGAGGATTCTTACTTCCTTACTTCAAACCTTGGTAAAAAGCTACACTACACAAAATGGTGTGGTACTGGCATAGGACAGAATTATAAAACAATGAATTAAAAATAAACTCATATATCTGTGGCTAACTGCCTTTCAATAAGAGTGTCAGGACCACTCAATGTACAGAGAACAATTTATTCAACACACAGTACCTGGGAACAGGAGACTTACAAGTAAAAGTATGAGGCTGGACCTACACCTCATCCTCATACAAAAAGTAGATCCAAATGGATCTTAGACTTAAATATAAGAGCTAAAACTGCTAAAAGGGTAAATACTAATAACTGCAGAGTTGGCAATGGGTTTTTAGATACATACCTTTTGGTATAATAAACAAACTGAACTTCAGAATTCATAAGCTAAGAGAAATGGAATCTGAAAAAATGTTGGATTAAAAATGAGAAAAAGTAGAAAAAAGAAAGGGGGAGAGGTAACAAATACAAAACAGCAACAAATTGGGTAGATGGCAGCCCAACCACAGCAGTAATCAGTGTTAGCCTCAACAGTTAGGCATATCAATTTAAAGACAGAAATTCACCTAAATTAAAATTGTACATCAGAGGAAACTATGAAGAAAGTGAGAAGACAGTCTACAAAATTGAAGAGCCAATTTGCAAACCACATATCTAACAAAAAGCTAGTATCCAGAATATCAGAATTCAACATAAAATGACATGCAATTCAACTGAAAAATTGGCAAACAGCTTGAACAGACATTTCTCTGAAGAAGATATAAGAATACCCAACAAGCACATGAAAAAAAATGCTCAACAATATTAGTCATTAGAGAAATGCAAATCAAGTCTGCAATGCCTCATTTCTATTGGATATTATCTTTTCTCTTATGGGTTCAAGTATACCTGTAGGTTTTCTAAGGACTTGTTGAACTACTAAACAGTCCAGGAAACAAACACAATGTAGCTCCTTTAAATGCTACTAATGGGTCTGAAGAGCTTAAGAGACCACTGTTTCAGGGGCAAGGAAAACCCTTCAGAGTTCTTTTTGTTTGTTTTGTTTGGCTTGTGAGAAGACAAAGTAGTAAAGATAATAAAACACAGTGAAAATCAGTTTAAACTTCTCAATCTTTTTTCTTAAAGCTTCATGTCTCTCAACTGTGACTTTTTTAAAGATTTATTTATTTATTTGAAAGGCAGAGTTACAGAGAGGCAGAGGCAGAGAGAGAGAGAGGGAGAGAGAGAAAGGAGAGGTCCTCCATTTGCTGGTCACTCCCCAGATGGCCGCAAGGGCCAGAGCTGCACTGATCCAAAGCCAGGAACCAGGAGCCCCCTCTAGGTGGCACTTGGGCCATCATCTACTGCTTTCCCAGGCCAAAGCAGAAAGCTGGATGGGAAGTGGAGTAGCCGGGACGCAAACCAGCACCCACATGAAATGCCAGTACTGCAGGCGGTGGCTTTACCTGCCATGGCGCTGGACTGTGTCCTTAAAAAAATCAATCCTAGATGACAAAAGGAGAGAGACAGAGAAGGGAGAGAGGGAGGGAGTAGGAGAGGGAAGTCAGGAAAATGGGTAAGTATAACAAAACACAAACAGCAGAGGACTAAAGGAAAAATAGAAAAGAATGGGAAGTAGCCAGCAACAGAATCTGAAATGAAATGGGGGCACTCTATTGCCACTGAAATGTTTAAATGTTCACGGCCAGAGGCTGACACTGTGGCATAATGGGCCAAGCCCCCACCTGCAGCGCCAGCATCCCATGTGGGTACCAGTTCATGTCCTGGCTGTCGTTCTTCTGCTCCATTTCTCTGCTTATGGCCTGGGAAAGCAGTGGAAGGTGACCCAGGGGCTTGGGCCCCTGCACCCACATGGGAGACCCAGGGGAAGGTTCTGGTTCCTGACTTCAAATCAGCTCAGTTAGTGCCTTTGCAGCCGTTTGGAAAGTGAACTAGAGGATGGAAGACCTTTATCTCTGTCTCTCCCTCTGTCTTTATGCCTCTCAAATGAATGAAAAAAAGAAAAAAGCTCATAGACAGCTGTTCTTCAATGCTCTTTCATAATCAGATAATTTATAAATCTAAAGTCCTTATATAGCAAGTCCAATTATTTGTTTCCAAAATATACTAGACTATATTACACTTAAGGAAAGCTCATTCAGTCCTATGGTTCCTTTATGATACTAACTCATCTTATTATAACACGCTTAGTAAATTCCATTCTTTAGTAAATTATCATAGTGAGAGTTAAGTTATTTGAGGGAACATACTTTTCATTAAATGCATGAATCAGCACAACTTTATTTGACAGTTTTTAGCACTAAATCAAAGTAGAGAATGTAATATACCCAGATTTTCAACATTTATATTCTCAAAAGGCTTTTGTTAATTTTAAAAAGTCTTTAGAATTAGTTATGTGCTCTCAATTTGTTTTTCTATAAAAAATTATCTATATTTACCTGAAAATGTAAAGAACAATTCATTTTGCAAACCAGCTCTTTGCATTTTAACACGATGGCATTCAGATTTAAGTAATGCAATTTCACAGGAAAGGTCAAGAACCAATTTACTTAAAATCTGAAGAAGTTTCTTCTCAAAAGAAATATTATAGATACTATTGCAGGGAGCTGCATGATATCGAGCTGTGAACTGGTAATAATAATGAGGTTCACGATAAGCTATAAAAAATTAAAGAAAGACAAAAACACAGTTATTTAAGCAATTCAAACAGAGTGAAACTATTGAAAAGAAATCATTATTTGGGATAAATTCATATTACATATTTATATACAGTTATATTTAGTTTTATTGAAAAAATACTTACCCAGCCACTGCTAACTGTCAAACATTACTACAGGAATTTAACAGTCAATCATGTAAACTTCCTAACACCATTTAAGATTGGTATTACTTTTATTCCCAAAATGTAGAAATTGAAGGAGACAGGGATTATGTCACACATTGGATAATGTCTATGCTATCAAAATTATGACTTTAACCTATGGACACTGGCCCCAGAGCCAAGGCTCCTAGCTACTATGATCCACTGCTGAAACTCAACTGTGACAGTTCTCTAAGTTTAAACACCCACCGTCAAAGAAATTACAGTCATATACTTGCTGTTTAGAAAGCTTCCCAATTAATTTACAAATAATTTTGCTGAATCCCAGAACAACATCCAGAACTGAGAAATACAATCTTGCCCATCCCAAAACCTTACTCAAGTGATATAAACAATATAAAATGAAAACAATTCTATAATGATACCAAAAATCAGAAAATGGAGTTATATAATCAGTTGGGTAATAGAAATATTTTTAAAATGCTCAAAGTTACTAATAATTAAGAATGTGAATATTAAAGTAATGAGTTTCACCCATCAACTTTCCAAATTGAAACTGATAATACTGCATATCATTCTGCTTTTATAATTTCCTAAAATGCTCGAAGGTCACTTATGATTTACCTATAAGTCAAGTCAATTCTTATAATCTAAGGGATGGTAAATATCTTGCTCAACAAAATAAAAAAACATGATCCAAAAAGAAAATACCACTTGTGGATAATACAAAACTTTGACATTTCAAATTATGTTTTACTTAGGATTACAAAAGGTCAATAAACTAAAGGAAAACAAAATACAGAATACAAAATATATACAATACAAAATGGGTATCAACAAGCTACACATTTAAATATCTACATCTCTCAAGAGCTATTAGAACACACACACAGCTTACATAAATATCAAACTTCAAATAAGCTACAAAAGACAAAAAATACATTTAAAGTCATGAAATGCCATTATTAACACAAAAGCAGAAATAGTGCAAAATATTACATTAGAGGTGTTTCAGGCACCGAGGTTCCATCCACGATGTTAGGAAGCTAAACTGGTATACTACTTACAGGACAACACTGGGGATGTCCTGGGTTTTCCTTTACAGAATTCATCTTACAGAAATACTAACAACTTCACCTACAAAATAAAAGAGTGTGTGTGTACAGAGAAATGACAGCTAGACAAACAGATATTTAAATCTTCCATCTAGCACTGTTTGAAGTAAGGAAAATACAAAACAAACTAAATCCTCAACTAAGGAATATTTGCTGATAAACTCTGGAATACGAGGTAGCCACGAGAAGGATTAAAGTGGGCAGTTATAATGAAACAGAATGAGTGACATGATTTGTTATCGGCTTAAAAAGAGCAAATCTCCAAATTCTGAGTTTTTTAACTGGGGTCGCATTCTGCTGGCATCTACATAATAGTGGTGTGGTGTGAAGCAGGATATCAAAAAGGATAAGAATAGTACCACGAGAAGCAGAACTCCTGGATTCAAATCTGAGCCCCTTTCACACGCTATGGTTTTGAGCAAGTCACATTAACTGCTCTGGGCCCAGGCTTCTTCATCTATGCAAGACCAAAAAATCAGTATCTACTAGACAGGCTTGTTGTGAGACTGGTAAGCTTCATACAAATAAAGCACTTAGAACAATGCCTTGCATTAGAAAGCACAATGTAGGGGTCAGCACTGTGATGTAGGGGGTAAAGCCATCGCCTGCAGTGCCAGCATCCCATATGGGCGCCGGTTCAAGTCCTGGCTGCTCCACTTCCGATCTAGCTCTCTGCTATGGCCTGGGAAAGCAGTAAAAGACAGCCCAAGTCCTTGGACCCATACACCTGTGTAGGAGACCCAGAAGAAGCTCCTGACTCCTGACTTTGGATTGGCTCAGCTCCGGCCGTTGTGGCCAACTGGGGAGAGAACCAGTGGATGGAAGACCTCTCTCTCTGCCTTTCCTCCTCTGTGTAACTCTTTCAAATAAATAAATAAATCTTTAAAAAAAAAAAAAAAAAAAGAAAGCACACAATGTAAACCTGTGTTGTTTGTTGTAATGATTTCATGTAATAAACAGTATTGCCTGGTACCCAGCAAGGGTTCAGTAAATACGAGTTCTCATTATCATTACTACAAAATTGCACCCATGTGAGGCAACTTTACACGTGTTAGCTTTTGGGAATATGCTTCAGTGAACGATTTTGAAGTGGCTATATAACAATGAATAAACATGAGTGATTAAAAATGCAGACTAAGCCTTAACAGAGTTAATATAATTTCTTATTAAAAAAAAAAAAAAGCTGAACTGGGGCCAGCACTGTGGTATAGTGCCCTAAGCCTCCACCTGCAGTGCCGGCATCCCATCTGGGTGCTGGTTCAAGTCTCAGCTGCTCCACTTCTGATCCACCTCTCTGCTATGGCCTAGGAAAGCAGCAGAAGATGGCCCAGGTGTTCAGACCCCTGCACCCGCATGGGAGACCCAGAAGAAGCTCGCGGCTCAGAATGGCCCACCTCTGGCTGTTGAGGCCATTTGGAGACTGAACCAGCAGATGGAAGACATTTCTGTCTGCTTCTCCCTGTCTATAACCCTACCTCTCAAGTAAATAAATAAATAAATAAGCTGAGCTCTCTCTTTAGATATCCGGGATATTTTTAAATATTTATCTACTTTTACATTTAATAAATTTTAATATCTGACACATTCACCTCTTATGTAAATATGATGTAGACACTATCTTTCTCAGAAGCAGAGAAATTAGTATCACATAAAATGTAATGAATAACAATCATATTTAAAATAAGCATGAGCAATTTTATAATAATTTGAAAATTTGCTTTTTTGACACCCTCTATTTTCGCTCATGGACTTGAATGTGTCTGTGTATGTTCTGTAACCTCTGGGGAAAATAACACTCTGACCAGTTAGCCGTCCTGTGCCCTCGCCACACACCCCCTCCAAAGTACTTCGTGGAATATGAGCAGGCAGTAACCTTCTAATTGAAAGAGACTAAAAATAGCAAAGTTTCTTCAAAACAACTCTGTTAAAATATTCAAATATTTTAAAACATTAAGTTAAAACACAACAAATTCACTTCTTACCATATATAACATATTTTAGTTGAATATTTTTAACAATTTCTTCCACAGTAGGCTTATACTCAAGGAAACACGTATAAACTCCACTCATGCTCTCCTCGAAGTTCTGGAATACAAGGCTTCCTGTGGATGTTATTTGCGCAGTGCTGTTTTCTAACAGAGGAAAAAGATACAGTGATAAGTGCCTTAAGTCACATGAGACATAAAATAGCAAAATATTTACTATGCAGAGTTTAGCAATCAAAATGTACCTATGCTACGAAGAGGTTGTGGATGACCCAGCTAGCCACTGCTCGATGCCTGCTAGCAGTGGGTGCCAGGATGACCTTCTAGCATCTACCAGACCAAAAATAACAGGTACATAATGTGCTGCTAATCTGATCCTTGCACTGAACTGTGCACTTTCCAAAATACAGTACATATATAAACAAATACATACAAACATTATATGTGCATGTACATATAACATGCATTTCATGCATTGTATTTTCAAACTACATATCATACACACACATACACACACATTAATGATGAGTTATGGCCTCAGTAAACTTCATGTGCAATGTAAAATAGTACACCCAGAACAAAAGCTATGACAATGTAATTACTGACAGCTAGATACTTGTTGTCACTACATATAACAGAGAGTGGAAGTTGGGTTACAACCTTGAGGGTTGCAGAATGCAAAAAATAGGACATTAGATCATCTGGCTTGCCCAAGGCCACACATCAGGGAGGTGCAGTGCTGGGAACCACAGTGGGATGAGAGCTCCCTTTCTGCTGCACAAGCCTCGCTTCGTGAATGTCACACTGGGAGAATGCTGGGCTGTGAAAAGAAACTACGCCTGCTTTCAGGCATCAAGGCCTGCATTTGACGACTACCTTTTTCTCTCACAAACTGCATAACCTTGGGTAACTACTTAATCTTCCTGGTGTCAGGCCCCTTCATTTGTACAATAAAGAATTGTAACATAAGACAGTCTATCTCATAGGGTAGCAAATACAAGGATGTTAAAATACTTGGGGAAAAAAAAGATCAATCATTATGCAAGTAAACTGCCATTCTTCACCTTCATAGCTTCACATTATAAAAGTCCTTAGATATTAAAATTTGCTTAGTCAATAACTTTATATTTTTTTCACTGGAACTGGAAGTACTACCTGAAGAAATATTTTCATTTAAATAATAATTTGTTGCTTATAAATTTTAAGTTGAATTATTTCTCCAAAACAAGAGTTTTCTAAGTAATGAAATTTTCATTATTCACTTGTTCAATAAACATTTATTGAGTCTCCAATACAAGCAAACCCTGCTTCATGGGATGGACATGTGACACAGTGGATAAGACCCCAGTACAGATGTCTGCAAACCATATCAAAGTACCTGGGTTCAAGGCCCAGCTCTACTCCTGATTCTAGCTTCCTACTACGATCCTAGGAGGCAGCAGGTGACATCTCAGGTGGTTTGGTCTCTGCTACCAAAATGGAAAGCAAGACTGAGTTCCTGGCTCCTGGCTTTTGGCTTTTTGCCACTCCTGGCTCCCGTCCCAGCTGGGACAGACATTTAAGGAATGAACCAGCAGATGAGAAATTTTACTACCTCTCTCTCTGCCTCTCAAATAAATTAAAGATAAAGGAAAATGAAGAAAAACATCTTGCTTCAGACACTGAAGGAGAAATTAACAGATGCGTATACCCACCCTTAAGTAATTTACATAAACCATTAATGCTTTGAGAACTCCCATTTCTGTATCTTAAATGAAGCTGAAGAATGTGATACAAATTTAGAATACATTTCTGTTAACATTTCTTAATGAATATCTTTTGATGAAAGACTGCATATTTATCATAACATGCTGACTCTTTCCTAGAACAGACTAAAAGTTTGCAAGTTCTTGAAATATATTTCAGAAGAAACAAACACCACATAACATGATAAAAGATGCTCATAAGTTTCACAAGAATCACATTGGAGTATCATGTCATCGATGAGGCTACGTGTTCCCTGGCCATGATTTGAAACCAAAGTTCCCCGTGGCAGAAATATCAATTAAGAACTGTTTAAAGTACAGATTTACATGTATATTACAATTTAAAATATTATGAGAGTTAGAAGGTTGAATCAAGGGCCAGGACTGTGGTGAAATGGGTACAGCTGCTGCCTGCAGTGCCAGCATCCTATAAGGGAGCTGGTTCGAGTCCCAGCTGCTCCACTTCCGATCTAGCTCTCTGCTATGGCCTAGGAAAGCAGTAGAAGATGGCCCAAGTCCTTGGGCCACTGCACATGTGTGGGAGACCTGGAAGACACTCCAGGCTCCTAGCTTCGGATCAGTCCAGCCCCAGCCGTTGTGGCCATTTAGGGAGTGAACCAGCAGATGGAAGACCTTTCTCTCTGCCTCTATAACTCCCCCTTTCAAATAGATAAATAAATATTTAAAAAAAAAAGAAAGTTAATACAATATGATCTACAGTAAAATACCCATTATTTTTTCAAAAAGTAAAAAATGATGTTTTTTTAAACTATATCCAGAGAATTTCATACAAATATAAAAATCTACCTTATATAATATCATTTAACAGAGATCAATTATCAGATCCTTAAGTGGAATCTAAAAACCATGAATTCACGAAAATAGTGGAATGATCGCTGCATAGACTTAGTGCTGGGGAAAGTAAAAGTTCAATAAGTACTGGAGACCTAATAGTGATTACAGTGAAGAATGTAGTGCAGGATGGGAGGGCCATCTGGCTGCGACATCTGTCACCCCACTGATTGCCAGGATAGATACGGCTGATCTGGCTGGCTAGGCGGGTGTCCCCGTCGGAGGACAAGCTGCGTGCTCAGTTGAAAAGGACGACCTTCTCCGCTAGAGGAGGACCGGTCTTGGGTCAAGGGTCTACAAGTAGCTGTGCTCCCCTGCTAGAGCCTCCAAACAAGTTCTCAAGAAAGTAGTACATACTTGATATTTGCTAAGAAGGTAGATACCAAGTGTTCTCACCACACACAAAACGTGACATAAAATGGGTTATTTATGTTAATGGCTTAATTGTGGTAATCATTTCACAATGACACTGATATCAAATATCACACTATATACCTTAAATACATACAGTTTCTGTCAATCATACCCGAATAAACCTGGGGTGAGGTAGAAAAATGTGAATAAATTCACAATAGGGGCTGGCGCTGTGGCATAGTGGGTAAAGCCACCGCCTGCATCCCATATGGACACCAGTTCGAGTCCCGGCTGCTCCACTTCCAATCTAGCTCTCTGCTATGGCCTGGGAAAGCAGTAGAAGACAGTCCAAGTCCTTGGGCCCCTGCACCCATGTGGGAGACCCGGAAGACGCTCCTGACTCCTAGCTTTGGATGAGCGTAGCTCCGGTCGTTGTGGCCACTTGGGGAGTGAACCAGCGGATGGAAGACCTCTCTCCCTGCCTCTCCTTCTTTCTCTGTGTAACTCTTTCAAATAAATAAATAAATAAAAGAAGAAAATTCACAATAACAGAATAAACTAAAATACAATAATAGTGCAGAAGTTCAGGATGGTATCTACCTGAGGGACACTGGAGACAGAGGACTGGGATTGAAAACAGCTTACAGAAAAGTCCAATAGTCTTGGTAATAACATGTGTTAGCCTGTGTAGCAGGCTCAAGAATATTGGTTTTAATATGCTTCAGAAAATTTAATATATTTTATATATATTACATATCAGATTCTTTATAATAAAATGCTAAGATAGGATAAAATATAACCTATGGTATTGATTTTTAAAATGTCAGAGAAAGGGGGAAAACCAAAAATATATGCCAACAAGTGCTTATATGTGTCTGGGTAAACATTCAGGAAAGTGGGGAAATCGCCAGACCAGAAAGCGTTAATTCATCCAACTAATATTAGGTGTTGTAGTTAGAGGTATGGAAGTTGTGCCAAGAAATGCTTTACTTTTATAAATAAAAATGATTGAACAAGAGACAGACAGAGAGGAGAAAAGAGAGGACAGGAGAAGACAGAAGAGGAAAGGGGAGGGGAAGGAAGGGGAAGGGTGGGGACAAAGTAAATAAGACAAAAAAGGTAACTGTGGAGGGGATGCAAAAATGAGTAGGTGCTTCACTGAACTGAACTTCAGAATAAAACTTACTGCTCTGTGTTTTAGCAAGGCAACAAAATAAACTAACTATACAAATCTATGTATTTTTAACTGCCCCATTAAAAAATCAGCTGTTACCAAATTAAGTTATTATAAAAGTAAAATATGCATTTAAAATAAATGTCAATAACATCAGTCATACGAATAGCAATTTCTATGTGACAAAAGTGACTTGTTTTGGAATAAAGATGCTCAGAGAATTCATCAAACAGGTTAGTCTTCTAGTATGTCCCTAAATCCAATTAAGAGATTTGAAAAATGCTATCACAAGCTCCAAGAAGAAATTATAAGAAAAAAAACTGAGGGAGTAGGCAAACATAAAAGATACAAATATTTTTGTCTGAGTGCATTTCAGATGTAGCTATTTAATAACAACAATTGAAACAAAATCCTACCTGAAATAATTTTTCCTCTTGGCCCATGCCATTGGAATGATGGGTCTATCAGCTCAGAATTTCGCAATCGTTGGGTTACACATAACACATGTGGACTCTTTTGATGGAGCATAACATATACTTTCACTGAAAATACAATATTAAAATGTTCCAATGATATTTATGCTCTTTCTCACTCTATAATGCCTTAAATTTTCATAGTTTAGGTTACATGCCTTTATAGGATTTATTTGGATTATTGTTTCTATTAATTGATATCAGCAACTAAATTCTACTGTATTCTACACAACTAACATTAAAAATATATGATAGATTTTATCTGTATTTGTGTATGTGTATGTGTGTGTCTTCAATCTGAGATATATTGGTCCTTTTTATTCAGAACTCACATAACCTTTTTATTCTTATAATATTGTTTCAATTGTAAAGTATTAAGATTATTAGACATAGAATTTTATCTGTTTTATAATGACATCAAACCCGAACAGAACTTATAGAGGAAAAATATATTATGCACAGTAATGCAGTTCAACATAATGAGTAAAAGATTATAATGTGAATACAGAGTCCACAAATATGAGCTTTAGTTTTAAATACTAAAGAATTTCATTTTAATTTTCTTTAAACTTTAAAGAATCCTGTTAATTATCCAAAAAATATTATTCCTTAGGAGCTACAAAAGGAACACAGTAAAGATTCAATTACTTTGCGTTCATCTCCTAGGTAAACACTTAGAAACGGTTCAGAAACTGGACGATTACTCTTCAATGACTTACCACATGCAAACACTTTTTTTGATCTAGTAAAATAAAAGTCACTCAATTATTATATTTTTAAATGTTTGAATGACATGTAATACATCACATTTTTATGGGATGTAGTGCAATATTTCAATACATACACACAGCATAAACTGATTAAACCAGGCCACCAGTTTCCCCATTTCTTTGTGTTTGTACCTGCCAAGTTTTCTCTTCCAGTTTTTTATGAGGTATATAATATTATTAAAAATCAAGCCAGCGCCGTGGCTCACTAGGCTAATCCTCCGCCTTGCGGCGCCGGCACACCAGGTTCTAGTCCTGGTCGGGGCGCCAGATTCTGTCCCGGTTGCCCCTCTTCCAGGCCAGCTCTCTGCTATGGCCAGGGAGTGCAGTGGAGGATGGCCCAGGTGCTTGGGCCCTGCACCCCATGGGAGACCAGGAAAAGCACCTGGCTCCTGGCTCCTGCCAGGATCAGCGCGGTGCTCCGGCTGCAGCGGCGGCCATTGGAGGGTGAACCAGCGGCAAAGGAAGACCTTTCTCTCTCTCTGTCTCTCTCTCACTGTCCACTCTGCCTGTAAGAATAAAAAAAAAATGACTCATCAAAATGTTCAGCCGGCACCGCGGCTCACTTGGCTAATCCTCCGCCTGCAGCGCCAGTCAGGGTGCCGGATTCTGTCCCAGTTGCTGCTCTTCCAGGCCAGCTCTCTGCTGTGGCCCGGGAGTGCAGTGGAAGATGGCCCAAGTGCTTGGGTCCCTGCACCCGCATGGGAAACCAGGAGGAAGCTCCTGGCTTTGGATCGGTGCAGCACCAGCCGTGGCGGCCATTAGGGGAGTGAACCAACGGAAGGAAGACCTTTCTCTCTGTCTCTCTCTCACTGTCTATAACTCTCTCTGTGTCTCTCTCTCACTGTCTAACTCTGCCTGTCAAAAAAAAAAGTTTCACCATAAAACACGCTGTTTATTGATTTTAGATATATATTCATCCACAAGCTTAAGAAAACTCCCTTCTACTCTTGTTTTTTAAAATCCTAAATTGGTATTGAGTTTTAACTAATTTTTCTACATTGATTGAGGTGACTGTGTTTTTATCATATAGGATATATTATATATTTAGTTAGTTAGTCACTAAAGAGACAAAGACAAGACAGGGAGCTGCTGGTTCTCTCCCCAAACACTCTCAAGCCAGGGCTTGACCAGGCAAAAGCTGGGACCCAGGAACTCAATCTGGATCCCTTACAAAGGTATCAGGGACCCAACCACTGCAGTATCACATGCTACCTCCCCAGGTACACACAGCAGGAAGCTGCACTCAGGAGCAGAGCTAGGACTTGAACCCAGGTACTCCAATATGAAATGGAGGAGTCTCAACTAGGATCTTAAGTCCTAAGCAAAATGCCTGCCCCCTTCTAGAATAGTTTAATTGATTGCCTGATATCAATAGACTTTGTTGGATAAATCTAATAGGCTATGCTTTTTTACTTATATATACTGTTGGATTTAATTTTCAATTATTTCCTTAAGGCCCTTGTAACTGTGTTAATACTATACGTAACTACATAATTTTCTTACCATCCTTTCCACTTTTCTCATTTTAGTATCGTGCATTTGTTATGTATATACTTAGTATTCATTATTATTTAGTATTGGGTATTAAGGTAGACATCTAAAGTCACAGTGCCACATAAATTAATGGGTAGATATTCTACTATACATTTTATCTGGAAGAATATGTAGTTTCCCCCTTTGGAAAATTGTATACTCTTAAAAATTTTTGTTCATTTTATTTTTTGGCAACAGAGTAAGAAATATTGTTTCACAAGCATGTAGCAAATCAAATTGGTTACTAGTCTAATTTAATGAAGTCTATTTTATAAATTTATTTTACTACTTATTCAGTTTAGGTTTATTATAACAAAATTATTCAGAATATTAATTTTGAGATTTATTTATTCATAACACTTTTTTGGACTTCCATTATTCTCATGAAAAAAATTGACAAAAATTTGTTTAACTGTTCCTAAGACAATTTTGTTCCAGTCAACCTATTATTCTTTTATCATCCTTCATTAATTCCTGCTGTTCCGTTTTTTATTTCTATGTCATTTTTCTGAACTTGAATTTCTCTTCTTATTTGGAAACTTCTTTACTACATACTTCGCTCCTTGGCATGACCTCCTGGCCCTCCTTCCCCTGGCCTGTCTTTTATATACATCCCACGACACCCTTACAAACAGCCCCCCCCGCCTTCCTAACCACAGCAAAGCAGCACACAGCACCAGGCCTGTGGTTGCACTCAGGCAGGCAGCTCATGCCTTCCCACCTTTAGAAACTCAGCACAAATCCATTCCTTGTGCTTTGACTTCTTTGATAACACTCATGCCATTACTGTGTGCTTTGTCTGGCACCCACTACTCTCTGCATGGATTTCAATCACAGAAAATACACGTGAGTCCAGAAGAGGTCCTCAATGTAAGATCAACATGCAAAAATGCCTAATAGTGCTCTACGTTCATAGTTCATTAAACCAACTTATAGGAAAAATGATAACATTTAGAGAACAATAAACAGAAGATCATTTAAAATCAAATGAGGCTTTTGTGAGAAATTCTTTCAGTTTCTCACAAAATAAATAAAATCAGACCACAATGCCATAATCCTCAAGAGTGTACACTCATAATTTCGAAGATGCCAATTTATCATATTTACCTGTGTAATCGACACAGTTTTACAGGCAAAATCCCTGAATTTTTTAAAAAATTGTTAGATTCTGTCTGTGATGAGGACGAGACAGGATGCTGAGGCACTGTCTGTCTACTGCCCTCCTTACCCCTTTTTCTTCCTGGCCACTCTTCCTGAACTATAGGCAGGTATGTGTGGGGAGGTGGGGGGGGAGGAGTGTGTGTGTGTGTGTATGTGTGTGTGTGTTTTCTCACCTTTCAAATACGCTGTGTAGTTTTTCTGACGTTTTAAATAAACTATCACTTTGTGCCTGTACTTAGAATGCTTCTCTAGGTAAAAGGCAAGGACCTGGAATAGGACTTTAGACTCTGTCAATCACACAACTGGTGGAGCCACCCAGGATAAAATTCACTCCAGAAATAGCAGCATGGTTATGAAGAGACTCAGCTATAGATAATTCTACATCTATTCAAATGGACACACTCCTAGGATGTACGCTTAATAACTGGGAAACTCTTAAATTGAATGGTATAATTTTAAAAAAGCTGAGTTTCCTCTGTAATACTGTTTAGACAAAATATAAGTGTGGAAATGGAGAAACATGGCCAATAAATGGGACTCTCAATTCTAATACTATTTCAGTACTTGACCTATATTGTAGAAAATAGATATGGTCAGAAACTGCTTATGTACAGGCTTTTATGGCATTATATCAACATTTTACTCATAAAAAATGTGACGGACTACTTCATGCCCCTACTCTCTGAGAGGAAAGGGAACAATCAATAGATATAATAAGTGACCCATTACTAACTATCCCAATCTCAACCAGTTCCAACGCCAGGGTCATCTCAAAAGGATGCTAGATCTTCTCCTTTACCTTCAATACCTGACTCTTCTATACCTTCTAACACTCCACGGCCTCCACCTTTTTCCCTTCCTGTCCCTCTCTACCAGAGGACAGTCCAGCTGGAGTTACTCACAGTGGAGCCCCCTACCTACCAAATATGCTCTGTCCTTTAAGAGATGGAGTCAGGACCGGACCATTACAGTACATGTCCCTTTCACCCTCCCTGACTCAACTCAATATAAACAAAAACTAGGAAGATTTCCAGAAGAACCTATTAGATATACTAAGGAGTTTCAGGCCCTAACTTTTGCCTACATCTTTACTTGGGCTGACCTACACACTATTTTATCTACTTGTTGCACCAAAGAAGAAAACCAACATATTTGGGCTGAGGCTCAAAAACATGCTGATGACTGGGCAATTCAGTATCCTAATGGTTTCTCTGTAGGGGCTTTGGAAGTCCCAGTTGATGCAGCTAACTGGAATCACCAAAAAAGACATGTAAATTTACAGCTATGATACAACATGGTTGCATGTGTACTGGCGAGGAAGAGGAAATGTTTTATCAAATCCGTAAACCAAGATAACGCAGGGAAAGGATGAAAATCCAGCCATGCTGCAGGGATAGTTAGCAGAACAACAAAGAACTATACTAATACCAATCCTGAATCTCCTGCAGGACAGATTTAGCTTGATCCTCATTTCCATATTCAACTGGCATCAGTATTAGCAGGAAGTTTCAGAAACTAGCTGTGGGACCTCAAACCCCATCAGACAATTGGTAGAAATAGCATTTCAAGTGTTTAACAATAGACACAGGCTTGAGGAGGAAGGAA